GTGTGCTCCCCTGCTGAGCCCCACCTCCCAAGGCATGCTGGCCTGTGTGTCAAGACAGGCCCTGTCCTCAGCCACCACCCCTGCATCCTCAGCACTTATCAAAGACATGGTTTCATCTGTGGAAGTCAAGACTGAGTTCCCAGGTTTACAGCAGGACAAGACCACTGAGATCCTAAAGATAAGAAGTCAGACCACAGGCGAAGCACTAGCAGAGCTTGGGTAGAAAAGTGTCTCCATGCTGGAGAGGTGGGTGTGGCTTCCCCAGGCTGGGGCCCTAAGGATGCCTCTGGAAGCAGCACCAGTTCTGCGGGGGAGAAGAGCTATTGTCCTCAGTCAGGGTCCGAGTCGGGGTCTGAGGAGAGCTGTCCCTCCATGGTCTCACACATGGCGTCTTGCAGAGATGTGAGGTGACCCCGGGGACTCATCCCCATGGGTTGTATGACTCTGTGCCTGTTGGGGAAAGGTGAGTAGGGCTGGGGAAGAGGCCTGGTGTGCTGGAAGGCCGGGGCCACCCGCGTAGAACCCTGTGTTGACTGGGCTCAGATCTCAGCTGCTGCCCTGGCTTCAAGACCCTGAGCAGTCCCTTCCTTTCCTGGCCTCATTCTCATCACCTGAACACTGGCACAATATCAATCTAACCTCAACTTTGCTCAAGGATTTCCAACATGAGTCACGCAGCCTTTCAGGACCCTAAGCCCTCCTCTGGTCTCACATTGGGATGTGGGTCCATTCTTCTTCTTCCCAAGTGCAGACCCCTCCTCCCAACACACCTGGAGAGCTTGTCAAACATGTTCACCAGCTTCATGGCCTCATGCTCCTTCTGCTCCTCTGTCATGCCCTCCATAGGATTGGGTGGCTTCTCCTCCACCCTCCCTGTCACAGGGTTGATGCTGCATCCCAGAGGGGGAATGGACAATGTGTTAGTAACTCTCCAGGACAAGAGGGGCTACATGGGTAGGTGGACGCCCACCTTCCTGCTCAGGCCTAGAGTGGCAAGATACAGGTTTACCTGGTGGAGGGAGGGGAGCATGCAACCACAGGAGAAAACTCCCTCCAGGAGGAGAAGCTCCTGCCTTGCCCGCTCCCGGTGCCCAAGCCCTCCCTGCATGCTCAGGACAACATTCCTTGGGAACAGGTATCAGATTCCGGAGGGTCTTTCCGTTCCTCATCCTGTCCCACCAACCACAGGAGTCTAGATGGGTGCGGAGCAGGAATGGAGGCGGGGGTGAAGGGAATCCCAAGTGTGTTGGGGTACACACCTGGCCTTGGCTTCCTTGTACTCGTCAGTGTCCGTATCCTCGTCCTCTGAATACTGGCCCTCAGGCCGCCCCCCTGCCATGAGGCCCCTGGCAGCCAAGAGGCCTGCGGCGTTCCCGTAGCCTGTATACTTGATGAATCGGGGCACTGGGGGCCAGGATACAGGTCAGTGGGTGAAGATGGCTGGGGCAGGGCAGGCCTGGGGCTCGGGCTTCCCACACTCACCACTCTCAGAACACAGCACAAAGAGGAATTCGGCAGCTACCCTCTTCACATCCGTGTCCAGGTGTGTCATGAGGCGGACAAGCTTGTTCCGCAGTAGCTCCCCAACCTCAGGCCGGGTCCTCACGTCCCGCAGAGGTGGCAGCACCTGGGGAAGCGGCTGGCACTCAGCCTAGGCTTGGAGCAACCTGAAGTCTGTGACCAGGGTCCCGCCACGCACCCCCCCCCCCCCAACACACACACACACACAAGCTCTGGCTTCTCTGCCAAGTACCTGGGCCTTCAGGAATTTCCTGACTGGACGGTGCATGCGGGCACACTCTGTCAGCACACTCAGCACAGGAGCCACACTCTCCTTTAGCCTGTGGGTCTGCAGAGGGACCTGTCACTGGGCAGTACTCCATCTGACTTGGGGTGAAGGGTGGCAGCTACACATGCCCTGGCTAGTCCTGGAAGCAGAGGCTTGGGAGTCCCCAAGGGCCAGGAGCTGGTGGTAGGTGTCTGTCAGTTTCGAAAGGGATGGGAATAGGCCCAAACTCAGGAAGTTAGTTGAAAGCTTTATGAGTTGGAGCCAACGACTCAATGCTTTAAGTCTAACTTTACCATCTATAAACCAGGGTTGTAAGCAGAACACAAAGTATTCCAATTTGTCTACACACCACTGGCATCCTGCTCTCAGAAAATGGCAGCAAAAAGAAACAACAGAACCTTTACTCTTTGTGCCTCCTGGACAGCGAGCAGGGAGCTCCTATCACTGCCGGCCTCCCTTGTTATCTCCCAGAGCATAACACCAGCAGCTGCAGCAATAAGGACAGGCAGCCACCCTCCTCACTCAGTTCACATGCATGCAAGCATACTCCACCCCAGCAACATGGCTCCCAGAGATCTGGCAATCTTGGTCTGTGGCTCTTTTGCTGGCTTAATGTCTGTAAGCTCTGGTAGGACTAGAGTTCCAGCTGTCTGGATGTCCTGTGGGCTCACCAGGAAATCCCTGGTGAATCTCCTTAAGAGGGACAGCTATGCTTATGACCAAGGGGGCTGCCCATGCACAGGGATATGAGGAGGCTGAGGGTCACAAGCAGGGGCTTCTCAAGATTACTAAAGAGGGAACCACAAAGTGTGACTGCTAGCATCTTGCTAGAACCTGAGAAACTCGACTCCTTGTAGCAGTGGGCAGAAATGAAGCCTTGAATGAATAAGGTTGTCCACATGTAGAAACAATGACCACAGCTGTGCAAACAGCCAAGGTCAGAGCCACTGCAGAGGACTGCCCAGCAGGTACCCTGCCTACCTGGTGCAAACGCTTCTCTAGGAAGGCGAGGAGGACACCAATCACATCCATGTTCACTCCCATGAACTCCAAGGAGCCTTCATGCAGCTCTAGGGCGAGGAGGACGTCCAAACACTTGGGAGGCAAGTTCCCCAGGAGATTCACTGTGTGGCTGGGGACAGATGGAGAGAGGCCTTGACAGGGCTAATCCTAAGTGCAGGTACAATCTCTGGAGGGGCCACAGATGTGAGCCATAGTCCGGGAGCCTGAAGAGCAGTTCTAGGGATCACAGCCAAGGGTAGGGACTGATCTCAGGGGTATGCCCAAGTGTATGGTGGTCCCCAGAGTGGCAATCTGCCCCAACATTTGTGTGCTGAAGTACTGATTGATCTCTGGAAACACAGGCCAATCCAGGCACAGTTCACCAAGACTGCCCTAATACCATGCCAACCTTGGCCACTGCCCAACACCCTGGCCCTAAATTCATGGCTCTTATCCTACTCACACAACAGAAGCACCTGAGGCTCCATGTAAACACAAGGATACCGTCCTGCCCATATAGACTCTAAGGTAGGGTCTGGGCTCCCAGGTGGTTCTGGTCCAGTGACATGGTGGGGGATCGCAATCCAGACATCAGAGCATGTCCCTCCTACCAGGATTGGCCCTGTCCTCACCCGTGGAACTCCTCCGTGCGGTCTCCAGCAGCAGCAACCATCACACAGTGCCGCAGAAGGGTTCCCAGGTACTGGTAAAGGGCAGTGTCTTCCTGACAAAGACAGAAAGTGGCTTCTGTGAGAGAAAGCCCCACTTGTCCCAACTGCTGCACTCCAGGACTATGGCACTAACCATTATACCTTCTCAGCTGCACACCTGGTCCACACCATGCCTGACACCCAGGAACTTGAAGGTACTGTGGAAGGCAGGTCCACAAAATGTCCCAGCTGAGTTAGCAACCACCCATGGGTTCAGGCCACCACTCACCTCGTCCACTTCCCTCTTGATGGAGTCAAAGGTGATATTAAATAGCACCTTGAGGATCTCCATAGCCCGCTCAGTCTCTTGGGGAGGAAGGAGATCAGGTGGGCTCTCTTCTGGGGTCATCCCCAGTGTCAGCTCCAGTGTGTGGGTCAGCAGGTGCACGCCATGCAGCTCCTGAAACAGCTGCTGGCGCACATCAGTGCGGAGTGCTGTTAGTAGGAAGAGGAGCCTTAAATCAAAGAACTGGACATCATGTGGGAAGTTCTTCTTGCTGTACATCCCCACACGCTCTGCTAGCCGCACCACCAGATGGGCCTCTGCTGCCAGTGTCTGTGCCACTGGACTGCTGAGCACGAGGTTGCAGAGGCACTTCAGGGACTCTAGTATGACATCCATATCTGGGGATTCTGGGACAGACCCCTCAGAGGCAGAGATGCCAGCATAGCAAGCTAGTGCATGTAAGCTCTGGCGACTGGTGAATGGGTCCAGGCAGCTGCGGTCCCGGGACAGGATACGGACAGTCTGTAGCCAGGTGACACGGTGCGAGGGTGGCAACCCCTGCTCCAGGACAGTGACCAACAACTCTGCAAGTCTCTGTGGGCAGGAAGAAGAGCGACTCCACTAGGCCCTCTTCCTGGGCAGCCCATCCCTGCACCGTTTCCCCTTGGGCCGGCACCCACCTTCCTGTCCTCCTGTTGGGCCTCGTCAAAGGTGAAGCTCTGGGAGTGCTGCAGAGAGACCCAGTGAAGTCAGATCCACACGCAGGTAGGGCCTGTGTTTCTAGGGCTGGCCTCCCTGCCTCTAATTCTGAGGCAGCAAACACCACTCTGAACAGATGGCAGCGTCCACCCACACGCCCCTCGGCCACAGCACCCCAGACCGGGCTCCCACTCCACCGCCGCACCGCCAAGGGTTCCCTTCCGCACCTAGACACTCCCTGCCCACCGCGCACAGGCAACGGGATCCCTCCCCGGAACGCCCCTCGCCGCCGGCGCCCGCTCACCTCCCGGTTGTACGTTCGTAGAGCTTCCGTAATCACGTCTTCCTTTCCCGTCTCTAGGGCATCCGCAACCGCCCGGGGCTCCATGGTCCCCAGAACCTGCCCCGCAAAGCGCGGGCCCGGCAGAGGCCAGCCGCCGAACCCGCCGGCCCCACCCGAGCCCGGAAGCTCAGCGTCCGCGCGCGACGGACGCCGGGACCGGCTGCGTGGGGCGGGGCCTCCGGCGGCGCGGCTTCAGGTGGCTGGGCCCCGCAGGTGCGGCCGGAGGCACCCGAGACCGCCAGGTTTGGCCTCCAACGCAGCCCGGCCCGGTGACCAGCCGACCCAGGTCCGCGTCGCCCCGGAGCCGAACAGCGACCCCTCCTGTGTGCCCCGGCGTCTGGGGTGCGAGTGTGCAGACGGAGAGGCCCTGAGACCCCGCCCAGCAGGCTATCAAGCGGGGCGTAGGCGGGACTTGGCAGTCCCGGGCCGCTCCCCGCTCAGACTGGAGTCTGCAGTGCGCCTCCCGCGGGAGAGACGCTGGGGCCGCAGGAGGGCGGGACCCGTCGGTCCCTGCCGCCGTGGAGCTCGCGTTCCAGAGGGGAAGACGGGGGAAAGCGAACCAGACGGCGTGAGGCGCTCAGGGGACTAGGACTGTTTTTAAAGGGGTGTCCGGTGGGCTGCAGAGGGCCCGAGGAAGTGCCATTTTTGAGGAGCCAGGACGGCCAGGAAAGGTCTGGAGGAAGGCCCGGCCAAGCCGAAGGAGCGGCAGGTGCGACGTGCGATGGCCTGGGTAGGCCGGGAGAAGGCGGGCAGCGGGAGGGGCGGTCAAGGCGAAAGCCAAGGCTGCCGTGGGCGGCACCCAGGCACCCTGCTAGAAGCGCCCGGTTTAGGGGCTGCTCTGAGCATTAAGTGACACACAGGCTGTGCTCCATTTGGGCACAGCCCCTCACTCTTAGCGAGAGGTCACCGAGCACCGGCTTTGTGCCAGGCTCTCGCGAGCGCCGCTTCCAAGGCTCCTACGCCCCGCACCGGTCCTTCCTTCATTTCTTTCTGTACTTGTCACCGCTGCGTATTACGCCGTGTCTTCGGCACCCATCTCCACTTGACAGAGACGGTACCGGGCTCGGTGGCGCCACGCTCGCACCTGAGTCCCACTCTAACCCACCTGCTAGAACGCGGGCCCGGGCCGTCCCTCCGTCCAGTGCCTACCTGTGAGCTTCTGGCCGGAAGGACCCCGCTGACAGACCTCAGCCGAGCACTAACAGCATCCACCCACCGGAGGTCGTGAGAGCGGACGCCCCCCTTCGTCATTTCCGTTCCCACGCGACACCACCCACAAACCGGAAGACCTGGAGTCAAAGGGGCGTGGCCTACGAGGGGCGGAGCCGGAAGCCTCTCTAGGTGTCGGAGCCACGTCCTGGGCACGGGTGGTCGTCTTGGGGACTAGCTTCGAGACTGGAGCGGGGCGCCATGGCGGACTGGACTCGAGGTGAGCGCACTAGAGCGGGCCGGGGGCCGAGTCTCTGTCTGCCGCCCTCGGTGGAAGGAGTCTGCGCGGGGACTTGGAGGCTGGGCCTTTCAGGCGGCTTGGGGACGGAAGCCGGAGGTGCTTTGTGTCATGTGGGTGAGCTGGAGTCTGGAGGGGTCTTGGCTGGGCCAGTCCTTAGGGGTAGAAGCTGTGGCGGGAAAGGGCCAGGCAAGCTTCCGTGGACTAGGGGCCTAGGGCACCTCCTGTGGTCCCCTCTCAGAGCTCTTATTCTCCCAAAGGAGATGGTGATGCCTGGGCAGTTGTGTCAACTAAAGGGAGTAATGAACATGAAGTGCTTGGCCGGGCCTTGACACCCCTTTATTTGGAGTCTGTACACCCCAGTGATTCCTGGGGCTGCGATTCATGTCGGTTCTTCTTGTCCATTGGACCAGCGGGAATTTGTACTCTGTTTGGGGGAAGGCGGTTCTCACCCTTTTGCATCATCTGGTCCTACCCATCACAGTCAGGTTCCTGCACCCACTGTGTTTTGGGTTTGCAGGAGGCCCTGTGTGGGACGCAAGGTGGGCTCACATCTGCTCACATTTTGGGGCTAGGGGCTTCATTCGTTTTCTCAGGGGTAAAGGTCCTTCCAGATATTCTGGTCTGGTTACTTGTCATTTCCTCTGAGTGTAGTTTGGAGCTCATCCCTGCAGGGTCTTCCTGCCACCTTTCTGGGCGCTCTTTCTTTCTTTTCTGTGCTTCTACCAGATTTTTCTTTGAGAACGGGTCTGACATTCAAAGATGGCAATATCCATGGAGGCAAGTGTTGCAACTTCCTAGCATTTCTGGGATTAACTCAGATTCCTACTCAATATCAGCAAAGGACCGTTGGACCGAGTGTGTTGGGGGTGCCTGCCCACCCTCACCTGGGTGTGCATGCAGGATGTGTGCTTTCGTGACATGTGCTTAACAGCCAGTCTCACACATACATGGTTCAACTACTGGAACTTGGGTTAGGGTTGGACTTTCTCAGCAGACTAAGTTGTCCCAGTCCCCCAAGTGTCTGATTAGGCCAGCATCAATTAGAGTAGAGGGATCAGAGACTACACTCATGAGTGGATACAGCTCCTCAGCCTTTCTCTTCTTTCAGCTCAGAACCCTGGTGCTGTGGAGGAGATTCTAGACCGGGAGAACAAGCGGATGGCTGACAGCCTGGCCTCCAAGGTTACCAGACTCAAATCGGTCAGTGGTGGCCCTTTTTCCCCTCCACCTGGTGGAAGAGTAGGCCTCAGAGGGTGGATAGATGAGCCCAGAGGGATTGGGGGGCAGTCATCCACACTCTTTGTTCCATCTGTCCCTGGCTTGGCTCACCTGAGTGAGGCTCAAGGTGATACCTGGACTTTTCCAGTCTTTGTTGGTGGTACCTTATCTAGCAGAGTGTGGGCAGAGTTCTGGCTGGTTTTAAGGGAGGGTGAGTGCTACATTCTGTGTCTGCCTTGGCCTGATCCTTCCCTTTGTGTTCTTTGACCAGCTGGCCCTAGACATCGATAGGGATGCAGAAGACCAGAACCGGTACCTGGACGGCATGGTAAGGGTCTACAGTATGCACGAGTCACAGCCAGCTCTGTTTCCACATCGTGTTCTACACAATGTCTGTTCTCCAGTGCTGGTGTGGGTGGGTGGTCAAGGTACCGCCTCTGTGTGATCCTGCTGGATCCCCTTCCCCAGGACTCGGATTTCACAAGCATGACTGGCCTGCTCACTGGAAGCATGAAGCGCTTTTCCACGATGGCACGGTCTGGGCGAGACAACCGGAAGCTTCTGTGTGGTATGGCTCTGGGTCTGATCGTGGCCTTCTTCATCCTCTCCTACCTCTTGTCAAGGGCAAGGACGTGAACCAGTGGGAGCCAAGGGCAGCCAGGGTTTTCTTCACCTGGTATCCTGGGCTCTTCAGGACTTAAATCTACAAAATATTCCTTTGAAATTATCATCATGATCAGGAATCTTCTTCCTTTGTGGTGGGAACTGTGACTGCCTCTGACCTGATGAATTCGTTTTGCCTGGTTCCATTTGTGAAGGGGACCCTTTCCTTGCCTAGGGGAAACCAAGGCCCAGCCCCCATCCCTACTCCTGGATGCCAGAGACACCCATTCTGAGCAGAGCAGCTCTGAGTCCTGAATGAGTCTACTCATGGCCAGCCGCTCTTTTCTGAGCCTCCCAGTCCTCAGGGGTCTGATGTCTTAAGGCTTTTCTGTCCTGTGTTGTCTGTGCCTGGATGAGGCTGTGTCTGTGATCTGAAAAGCCCGAGGCTGACACAGGGAGCTGGTATGGCTGAGAACCCCATTTGAGCTGTCTCCTCCAATGAAGGGTCCTAAGCCTGGATATAGTACTTATTTGGACCAGTGTGGGCCAAGAGCCCTGTTCTAAGGACTTTGCTCTCAAGTTCCTGGATGAGATCAGTTCCCCATGAAGATCAGGGGCTGTGGATGCAGGAGTGCATCATAACCTTACCTGGAGGCACTGGGCTGGGAGCCTTCTGGGTCACATAGTTGTATGTCTAGGAGCATAAATGACGTCTTCAGGATTTAGGAGCTCCCTAGTGCCTAAGATGTATCCCCTGGAAAATAATCAAGAAACAGGCCAGTGTGGCTTTACAAAGTCAGGCAGTTCCTTGGGGAGGTCTTCCCTGTAAGCACCCTCCTTATAGGGGTGGAGATCACCTGTTGAGAGACCTTGTGCTATTTGTAGTGAGAACTTTACCCCTCCACTTGCTCTGCCCTACCTTGCCTCCCACAGCCAGTCGCCCTCCCTCCCATAACTTGCTGTGGGGCTGCTCTGAGCTATCATCTTTGTCCCTGACTCTGTAGACTGCCCTTTCCTCCTGTCTTTCCTTGACCCTCACCACTCACTTGGCCAGCTCTAGGCCAATACAAACTGAACTATGGGGCTGGCCAAGCCAGCAGCTACTGAGGGTCCGCACCTTTGTCTTCACATGAAAAGTATCTTTAAGGAATTAGCCCTGCAGCTCAGTGTCATTTTTTGTCTTCATTCTAGTTTGTCTCCCAGTCATTCCCTCTCTTCCCCAGGACTGTTGGCTCACTGTCCCCCCCTAGTGTGCCACATCGTGAGGCCTGTCCGTCCAACCGTCTCTGAGCTCCATGTTGACACAGAACAGCCGTAGCCTGTCCTCTCAGTGTCCTGGCCCTGCCTTACTCTGGCCACAGTCCCAGGCACCTGTCACTTCCTCCTTCTCTATTTAGCAGGTCCTCTTTTATCTACACACCCTCACCACAATCCCCTTTTTTCATCTCCTGGCCCTTCCATTGCACCTGGCTGAGCCCCTAAGCCTCTAGAGGGGGAGGATCTGCTGCCTTTTGTTTTTTCTTTTCCAGCACAAAGTCAGTTCTCACTGCCTCCTTTCTCTGTGTCTTTGTTAATTCCCTGACACTCTCCCAGCTGGGCTGTTCTGGCTTTTGCTTCCTTCTTGGGCATTTCTTCATAGGCCCTGTCACCCTTGTCACCCTCCACAACTTTGGTTTAGCCCTTGGTTCGTCACCAAACATGGTAGCAGTTACCTGTGTTGTGTCGCCACCTGGTCACTACAGGCACTGTAGAGGGCACATCCATATTCCAGCTCTACATCCCCGTCATCCTGGGTCATGCACTGCTGAGAACATGGCCGAACCATGGGAACCACCAGATGCCAGGACACACTTGCCGTGGTCAGGGCCCACTTATCTTGCCTGTGATACTAAGGATTTAGACCTGTATTTCATGATGACCTTCCCCTGAAGAAGTGCTTTTGCTGTCTCCGAGACCCCCCAGTTGGGTTTCTGCCTCAGGTCTTCCTCTATCTCCACAGCTCTTACAGTTCTTCCAGTAGTTTTCAGGTCTGTTTTGTAGTTCCTTTCTAGTTTACTTGTCTGCTCCTTGTTCTTCTCCTTGCATTCTATGAATTTTATGAAATGGGATGGCAGCCCTACTGCCACTGGGTCAGGCCAGTTTCCTGAAGGGTTCTAACCATGGTCCTCCAGCTCAGCCCTGTGTACCTGGCACCTGACCCTATGGGTAAGTGGGTTTTGCTGACTTGGTCTCCAATACCAGTATTCCAGAAACAGTCTTGGGGGTCCGATGTGAGGGGTGAGAGCCCAGTATGGGGGCCCAGTGTGAGAACAAGCTGCCAGGCTATGCCACAATTCAAGCACATCTCAACAATAAAAATGTGGAATAAATAGCTTTGTGAAGAAGGAAGCACATATTCTTTGTTGTTCTTATTTCCTGCGGATCCAAGAGAGTCTTCGAGTTTACCCTGGTCCACAGGCTCTCCCTTCCCTGACTTCTGGGAACCCCTTGTCCTCCTAATTTGCTCCTGCAGGACCACCTGCGGCAGTACAGACATAGACCTACCACTTCCTGCACTGTGTCCCTTCTCTGTCCAAGATTCTGCCTTTCCAGTAGGGAAGATGTTAGTGTTACCTTTTAAGGGATAAGGGGATGCGCATGAAATGCTTGTAATATGCAGCCTGGCATGGACTCAGCTGAGTGAGAGTCAGCAACTATATTGTGCTTTATGTTGTACAGGTGGTGGTATCACAGGTGCATTGGGTAGGGCCACTTGCCCAGCACTGACCTTCCCCAAAGCCCAAGGGAATTCCAGACCCTGCTTCCTGAGGCCTGGCCTCAGGCTGCTGGAAGCCTCTGCAGATCCCTCTCTTGGAGCCCAGCTGAGATGCCAGTGATCTGTTCACATTCTCCTCATGTTAGCTGTTAATGCCTAATAGATGCCCTGAGACTTAGCATCTTAAAATTGCAATAATAGTCTACATTTCTCACTGCCACTGTGGTCAGAATTTGTGGCATCATGGCATGGCTTTCTCCGTTCTGCCAGGATAAGGCCTCAGCTGGTAGATATGGGGCTGGGGCTGTATCCCCTGAATGCTCTCTCAGCTGGTGTGAACTGAGGACCTGGTTGGACTGCTTGCCCTAGATGCTGCATGTGGCATTGTATACATTAAGCTTCCTCTCTTCCTTCTTCCTGACCCTCACCCAGCCCCCTCTAGTCTGCTTGACTACCCATGAGGGGTAGTCAGGCAATACCACTTCTGCTGTGCCTTATTATAATTCAGGGTAGTCCAGATTCAAGGGTAGGGGCTCAGACCCCACTTCTCAGAGGGAGGGCTGTACTGAGGGAGAAAGCTCATGGGAGGGTAGCACAGGTGCTGGGCAAGGTTTAAGGCTCCTGGGCCTTCCTATTTCCCTGGGAAGACTACTGGTCAGGAAGCCAGATGGGCCCTGTGTGGGCCAGCAATGATAGCCCCTAGTTGCCCCTTTCTGGATGAGCTTGATCCTTCCTCCAAGGTAGAACCTTATAAGTGGAATCCGTGATTTATTAAGTAATTCAGGCACAGCAGGAAACAAGATTAGCAAATGGGAAGTTAGCATAGAAAAATATCACTTTCGCAACTGTCCAAACAAGCATGCTCTGCCCCACAGGTCCAGGCCAGCCATGGCCCAACTGATGGAGCTTTCAGTTCACTGTCAGCCCTGCAGATCTCTTGTGGGAGGTGATATGTACAGGCTGACAGGGGTGGCTGGGGCTATTCCATGTCAACAACCAGGGGTGTCATGTAGTCAGAGTGTTTGATGCCGAAGGTGACAATCGGGGCACAAGGCTTGGTCAGGATCACCTAGGAGAAGAAAGGCTGTGAGGAGGATCCTAAACCCTGACTGGGGCTGGGCTGCTGTTCTTCCTGAACCTGGGGCCAAGATAGCCAGGCTCAAGGCCACATTGTCTGTAAACACAGTGCTCAGCATTGACTGGCACAGCATTGGGACGCAGAGCCAGCCAGCTGGAGGAAAGGGCTAGGGCATGGGGTCCTTGTGCCTGGAGGTTTGCCTTTGGGTGAATAGTGGAAATTTACAGGGTCCTGAGGGTACATGGCCTCAGCAGCCCCTGCAGGGTACAGGCCCTTCCCTCCCCCCCCACCCCCCGCCACTCTGGACTGGGTCCCCTGACCCTCACCCAACCCCCTCTAGTCTGCTTGTCCAGGACCTTCTCAGGGCTGTGGGCTCCAGGTCCTGGCTTGAGGGTCTTGTCCCCTGGGGGTTCCACCCGGGCAGCCATGGTGTACTGTGGAGCCTTGAACTTGGTCACCTGCACGTCAGTCTGGCGGTATGCCGCAGGACCTGGGGTCTGGGAGAAGAAGAGGGCTTAGACAGGTTTGGCCGGCCCTAGGCACATGGCCCCAGAGGGCAGGGACAGGTGTCAGGCCCTGAGTCACCAGGGACAGCTCCTAGCTGTCTATCACTATTGGAACAACACCCTACTGCTCATGGAACACCACTGTATGGTGTCACCCCCTCAATTTTAGCTTCACTATGGTAATCTCCCACTGTGTGCCAACCCTGGGCACACCACTGTCATGTGTATGAGGCCCCTTCTCAGGTGGGATGCTGTCCTCTTGAGCTTGAGAGCAGTGGCCTTGGCCTGGTGTGTGCTCCTGATGCTGCTTCACATGCCCACCCTGCCAGCTATTTCCACAGCTGGAACCTCTTCCCCCCAAATAGCTCACGCTTGTTTTTCTCCTTCCTTCCTCTGGGCAACATCCCATAAACCCCTTCTGTGTTCAATGGTGCCACAACCTCCCATGCTGGGGCCCTGGTCCCTCCTCACTACTAAGTGTAGCCCCAGCATGTGACAAGCCATAGAGGGCAAAGGGGGCATGGGGCCTCAGCAGAGCTCCACTGGTGGGCCCTGGGTGTTGAGAGGAAGGACCAGGCAGTTCACGGGGCCTGTGCTCTGCCCTCAGCTGGTGTGACCCTTGCCTTGTGCAGATCGTCGCTGAAGCTGGCCAGCTTGCTCCGGCCCTTGATGGAATAGGAGGGCTGGGAGACCTTGCCCACCGTGCGTGGCCCCATCACCACAGGCAGCATGTATGCAGCAGGGCCTGTGGGATGGATGAGGAGAAGCCTCAGACCAGAATGTGGCCTACTAGCTCCTTTCCGGGCCTTCTCCACCCTAAGAGAGCAGCTCTTGGGCTGTTCGTTTGCCCCCTTCTGGGACCCAACTCCAGTCAGACAGGTTATTGTGGGGGCTGCTGCAGACCTGGGGTGCTGTCCACTCGGAAGGTCTTGGTTCGGGCAGAGATGGAGTGGCTGGGTGCTGAGTCGAACACATGCTTGGTAGATTTCTCTGGAAAGTAGTCACCTGGGGGACAGTGGAAGGAGGTACACGAACAAAAAGGATGTGGATACCCCCAGCTGTGGCACTCAAGGAGTGTGCCCCAGCATTCCAGGCATGAGGTCTTTGGGCCCCCATGTGGGTGATGAATGAGGTTGGTCAGGAGTGTCCAGCATGAAAATACTGACTTTGGGGTTGTTTTTGAGCCGGGGGAGTAAGGTCTGATGTGGACCTGGCCCCAAGACTCCAAATGAGGGCCAAACTGGAGGTTTTTGTTTCCTCACACCAGATGGTGCCTGGCCCACTGCAGAAAGGGCACAGGAAAGGTGAGGCCCACTGAGTTAGTGCATACCCTGGCCTCAGCACTAGGCTACCAACATTGGCCACCCAGCAGGGAAGGTAAGGGCTCAGGTCAGGAGTCCAAGGTGGGGTCACTCACCTGGGCCAGGTGTTAGCATTGTTTTGGTGTGGTAGCGCCCCAGGATGGAGTAGGCAGGGCCAAGGTCCTTGCCAGTCCTCAGTATCTTAGGGTTCACACTGTAGCGGGGCCCTGGGGAACAGTTCTCTGCCAGGAGCATGGGGGCCCCACAGAAGCTGTAGGCCGGAGCACGCTGCTTGGTGGGTGTGTGCTTCATGAAGCCTGTGGGCACAGTGGCTCTGAACAGCCTGGAGCCACAAACCCCTCCTCCCCACTGGGAGTCAGGGACTAAGCCCTGGGCCACTGAGGTCACCCAAGCCCACCCCAGGCCATCCCAGGCCTTGCTCCTGGCTCTTCCCCCTGCGCCCCCCCCCCCCCCCAAAGCTCTCAGATTCTTACCCGTGGTGGGTGGAATCAGGTACTTGGGTCCAGGGCTGCTGTAGAGGGCCATGATGGGCCCCCTGGGGCGATGGGGTCTCCAGGTGCCTACCCATACCTCCTCTGTCATAGCTGCCTCTGTCCATGGATAAGAGGGTGACCAGGTGCTGGGGAGGCCCTGGCCCATCTCACCCTAGCTTCCTATGTCCCCACTTCTGGTCTTGCTGTCACTAATGGGACAGAACCACAGGCCTCCTCTGTAGGGTTTTGAGCAATTATGGGCAGTGGGAGCTTTCTGCTTGGTGTAGTGTAATGAGCTCACACCTCCAAGGTAAGGAGTTTTGGACTCTGGTGCAAGCCCAGAGGAGCTATCTATTCTGTCCCATGACGGACTCTAAGGGGGCCTGGGCAAGTTCTTCCTACTCAGAGGATCCTGGGTGGGACCCAACAATGAGCTGTGGACACTGGTGGGCAGCTTTCTGGCTGACGCTGTGCAGTGGGCAGGGAGGGGCCTGCTTGGGAGACCTCACCTCTTTGCAGGAGCAGGCTCAGAGCAACCTGTGACCCAGCCTCCTCACAGGTAGTCCTGTCCCCCTGGCCTCAATGCCAGGCAGTTCCCAAAAAAGGAGCATGGAGAGAAAGACCTCCCTCTCTTCCACAGGGCTTCAAGAATTGGGGAAGGGTCCGAGCTCTTGAGCTCTGGAATGTGGCTCTGTGGGATGGGGTGTTCTAGATCACAATGTATGTGATGGAGACAATGGCCTTTACCCGGGCCCCTTGTTAGGCCCCTACCTCCCCAGGAACCCCACCCTCCCCAGGCCCCATCCTTGCCAGGGACCCTCAACCTTCAAAAGGCCCCATCCTCACCCTGGATTCCCCAACCAGGCCCAAGCTTCACCTGGAACCCCATGGTCCTACCCTTGCCAGACCCCACCTTTCCCTCCCTGGGATCCCAGCACCTTCATAAGACCCCACCTTTGCCAGGCTCCACCCTTACTAGGGACCTCACCCTCTCCAGGCCTGAACTCCGGTATCTGGGACAGGTGCATAGGGGTGGGACAGGGCAAGTGAGATCACATGGTCCACAGCCTGGGTGGCCAAGGAGCCAGCTTGATGATCCCACTCAGCATTGCCCCCACTAGAATCCACTGAGCTATGGAAAAGGTGCTGGAAGGTTCTGGCTGTTGGGGGTCCTGGATCTCAGCTTAGGATCTGTGTTGATCATAGTGGGCAAGAGCTAGTACACTGCTGTTCTGCAGGCTGACCTTCAGACCCTGGGGGCCTGTAGCCCTTGTTGCATTCCACCAGTGTGCATGTGGCTGCCATCCAGGGTCTCAAGCTCAGAGTAGCCCTGAGTGCTTTCTCTGTTCCTGCCCTGGCCTTCCACTGCAGAGCATCTCCCTTCTGCAGGCCACTTGTGTCCACATGACTGCCTGCCTGTGTTCTGTGCTGTTTCCTGCCTAGGTGATGTCTACCTGGGTCAAGTCTCCGCCCTGTGCCCTTGCTCTCGTGCATCCCTCTGGATGGGGTTCCTTTCATGTCTGTGCTCCTGCGGGTGACTGCTCTTGTCTATGTTGGCCAGGTCCCCAAGTGTACATTTTTATTTTGTTACTGGGAATTGAGCCCAGGGGCACCATACCACTGAGCTACATCTGTAGCCCTTTTTATTTTTCGTTTTGAGATAGGATCTTGCTAAGTTGCCTAGGGCCTTGAGCTTGTGATTATACTACCTCAGGTTCCCAAATCTCAGGGATTACAGGCATGTGCCACTGTGCCTGGCCCGAGTATACTCTTGATGTGCCCTTTCGTATGTCCCTGAGTGGGGGGAGAGACGAGGAACCAGAGCTTGGGCTGCAGGAGGCTTTATTGATTTAGTGGTTCAAGGGTAAATTTATTCATGGTAAAGAAGCAGTGGGGCAGCATGCATGTGGCTACTTTTGTGGCTGGTCCTGTGGCTGTCAGGAGCCCTGTCTGAGGTCCACTTAGGCGTCATCCTGGCTGCCCAGCACTTGCACCTGGAAGGCAGATGAGTATGGACTGGAAAGCCAGTGACTAGTGACTGCAGAGCCAGAGCTCTCTGCAGCAGACAGACCCATCTCTGGGGGAGAAGGGCTCTGGCACATTGCAGCCCACCCCTCCCTGCAGCTGGGAGGTGTTGTGTGCATGCAGGTTGTGCGTGTGCATTGTGTGTGTGCACCTGTGTGTCTGAGCATGTATGTGCACAAGCCATTGTGGGGCTTATCCCACAGGCTGTGAGGGAGCAGGTCTAAGGGACCTAGGGGTTTGTTTCTCTGTGGGCTGGGGAGTATGGGACGTCCACCTCAGCTGAGGCAGGTTAGGGTATCTGTGGGGGTGGGCTCCAGGGTACTGTGTTGGGCTGGCAATCACAGGCCATGCCTTGGGTGGGTTTTGGGACTGCAGATGTTTAGAGAATGGGATACCCCCAGCCCCAGTACCAGTAGCTTGACTAGCTCCGCCTTGTGCATGGGCTGTAGGTTGTCAATGCAGGACTTGAGCTCTGTCAGTGCTTCTTTGGCATCCTCGTTGACATTGTACTTGCCCAGGGGCCCCTCATAGAGCTCCTCTGCGGTTCCCACCAGCAGGGTTTGCAGGAAGTCCATGAAAAACTCATTGTTGTCCTCCCCTGTCGTCAGCCCTGTGTTGCGAAGGGAGACGATGCCAGGACAGAGCCTACAAGTTCTGTGTCTTCTGCCCTTCCGTATATCTTCCTCCATGATGCCCCCAGCCCCACCTGCCACAGATGCGCCCCCCCGCCCCCATATCAGCTTCTCCTATTTCCACTCCCGGGAAGGAAAGTCAACACCCGACATAGGGGTCGCCTGATGTACAGCTGGTCTGAACTGGTGCTCAGCAGGTCAGGGTCAGGTTGGATTGGGCTGCAGGGGGTGACATTGGGCATGATGGTGACATGAGCTGGGGTGGTCTGAATGGAGGCTTGGTTTCAGCAGGAAACTTCTGTGGGTGGTCTGTGCTGGAGGCAGGCACTATCCATGGTGAGGGAACTGATGTTGGGATTTTAGCTTCCCAGGCACCCCGCCCCCCAAATGTGCTGGAAGTGTGGCCACACTCACCGCAGATGAAGGACAAGGTGAGGACCACCAGCAGGAGTGTGCTGCTCCCCTTCATGGCCACAGTCTCCGGAGCTGCCTTGGTAGATTCCAGGTTTTTATGCCTTAGCTGGTGGCACCTTGCCCAGGGGTTGGCCGACCTGTCCATCAGGACCTGGCAGGTAAGCTTGGGCCAGGCATGTCCTCATCCTCCACCAGGTGCTAAGCAGCACCAGCCTGGGTAATTGGTGAAGGGCTGTTGGCAAATAGTGCAGCGAGGGGGTGAGCCTAGGTGAGGGAGGCCCTGTGTGGGGGTCAGTGAGGAAGGGCAGTGGAGCCTGATGCCCAAGTGGTCCTGAGGATGCTGGTGGTGGGGCCCAGACCTTTCTTGAGAGTTGTGATTCCCTTTACCCCTCTACTCAATGTGCTGTGTGGCCCCTTCCGTACTTGGGGAAGGGCAGGGGCCGGGACCTCCCTACTATTCAAATGGAGTGGCAGGCAGGAGAAAGTCCTGGCATGTGAGGACACAGGGTTGGGGGGCTTCCTGCAATGAGGGGACCTGGCCATAGAGTCCAGGGAAAGGAAGGTGGCCTGAGAAGTGACAAGGAGCCACCCGTAGGGGCTGGTCAGAGCAGGAAATGAGGAAGAGCTGTAGTCTGGTAACATATCTTCCCTCTATGGCCAGGTCAGCCAGGGCAGATAGTCCCAGCACCTGCCACTGTGGGAAGGGGCTCAGCTCCCGGGGCCACGAGCTGAACTGTCCCAGGGCAGTCATTCTTCAGATGAGAGTCCAGACACTCCCACTGTGGCCTGGCGCCTCTCCTCCTGTCCCCTGCTGCCACCTGGTGGTTCATGGCTCCTTCTGGAACCCTGCACACTCCCCTGCAGGAGCGCTGGTTTCAAAGCCTGCCCAGCCCCTGCAGACCCCTCTTTCAGAACCTAACTCCACCCCCCACCCACACACATTGTATTGTCAGAGCAAAGCCCTTTGTGCCCACGTCCTTGTTTGGGCCTGTCACTGTGGCATCCTTCATCATCCTGCTCTTCATTATAAACCGGTCAAAGCGAGTGAGAACTTTAACATCAAGATGGAGCCTCCAGGGATACTGAGCAAGATTCTGGGGCCTTTGCCTGGCTAGGAGATACTCAGGGCCACGTGGAGGGAATAGCTACCCGTGGCTCCCGGAGGGCTCATCCCTCTGTGCAGATGTGGCTGCTGCCCTCCAACTTGTGGGAAGGGGGCACAAGGAAGCCGAGCTGCGCGGAGTGCCTCCCAGGCCCAGAGGCATCCTCACTGAGGGAAGTGAGTTATGACATGTGAGGGTTCCCAGAACCATGTTATTCTGTGTGTGTTTAATGACTCTGGAAGGGAACGGAACCAGCAGCAGCAGCAGCAGCACAGGGTTTATTGAGCTGGACTTTTCCCAGGTGTGTGGAATAGGATCGGCTTCAAGAGAGTGGATTCTTTCTGTCTGATTCTGGATCTTCTACTACTTTTGTATTTTATTTAGAGATAGGGTCTCACTGAGTTGCTTAGCCCCTCACTTTTGCTGAGGCTGGCTTAGAACTCGTGATCCTCCTGCCTTAGTTTCCCAAGCTACTGGGATTATAGGCATGTGCCACTGCACCTAGCTCTAGGAGTCTGTGGTTTTCTAATCAAGTCCTGTCATCTGAGGATGGATGGCCACACAGGCGATGGTTAACACCCACGGGATCTGCTGACAGTAAGTCTTGGGAGTCCCAGTGCAGGCATAGATCAGCCATGCCTGTCACTTGCAAAGGAAGACCAGCAGTGGCCCATGTACTGAGTTTGTCACCCATAGCCGGGTGTGGTGGTGTACACCTGTAATTCCAGTGACTTGGGAGGCTGAAGCAGGAGGATCACAAGTTCAAGGCCAGCCTCAGCAACTTAGTAAGACTCTTGGCAATCTAGCAAAAACTCTCTAAAAAAATATAAAGGACAGAGGGTGTAGCTTACTGGTAGGCACCCCTTGGTTCAATCCTCATTCCAAAAAAAGAAAAAGGAAAAAGGGTGAATGTGTCATCATAGGAAAAGCTTCAC